GAGGGCTGCTTAATGAGTTTTGGTGAGCTGTTGAGGGCTTCAATGGTAGCCCCACCCTTTGGCAGTTGCCCCACCCCTGGTCATCTTGGGACCGGGAGTCCTGCCCTCTAACCCCCAACCATTGCCATTGGAAGTTCCTCTGCTTTGACCACAGAACTGCTCTCTTTGGGAGGGGGTTGCCATCTTGGAACCAGAAAAAATAACAAATTATATACTAAAAGTAAAATGTCTACTATAACATATTTTAATTTTATTGCAAAAAATATTTTGTCCTGATTCATGTGTATTTGCCTAGTGTATATAGAGGTGATTGCATAATAGTTCAAAAATAAAGTCTTACACTGGTATATTGTGTGGGGTATGTGTGTTGGGGGGAGTGTGTGGGGTATGATTAGTGTGGGTGTGTGATGGTTTGGGTGTATATGTGTATGATGGGGTGTCGGGCTTGTGAGGACATATGGTTGTATATGTGGGGGGTTATAGGGTATGTTGGGGATGTGGGGGTGTGTATATGTAGGGGGGTGGGCAGGGTATGGGTGCATGTGTGGGGCGGGGTTGGGATGTAAGGGAGTGTGGGGGGATGTGGGGACCCCCCCTACATACTGCCTCATGAAGCCCAGCTCCCACCAGCAGCGGCAGCACCAGCAAGTGGTGGGCCCTCAGGGTGCTCACGGTCTGTGCAGGTGCAGCTGTCTGATGGCACTCGGCTTCAGCTGGTTCCGGGAGCTGCACGTGGCAACAAGGGGCGAATACAGGCTGGCCCACCTCTATTGTGTGGGGCTTATGTGCAGCTCCTGGGACTCGTGCATCACTGGGAGAAGGCCTTCGTGATGGTGCTGGCTGCCTTCCCCACTCCTTGCCGCCACGTGCAGCTCCCAGGACTCCACCAGAAGTGGCAGGAAGCCCCACCTCCTGCTTCCTGGTAGAGTCCTGGGAGGTGTGCATGGCAGCAGGGAGCAGGGAAGGCAAGCCGGCTCCATTGCATGGGGCTTCCCCTGGTGGTGCGGAAGTCCCAGGAGCTGTACATGAGCCCCACGCAATAAAAGGCCTGGCTCTACTCCTTGCCGTGATATGGAGCTCCCAAAATGGGCTGGAGCCACACGCTGCCGGGCAGCTGTGCCTGCATGGGCCACGAGCACCCGAGGGCCCATCACATGCTGCTGCCAGCAGCAGGGGCCGTGCACCATGGAGGGAGGTATGTGGGGGTGTCTCCACATATCCACACACCCACACACTGGCCACCTGAGCTCTCCACTCCCACCACCCTGTTAGGCATGGGTTCCAGGTTCCAAGCTCCCGCCATCCCCATCCCCATGCTCAGCACTCCCACCCAACTGCAGCTTCTCTACCTGGTGCCCGGAGTGAGCGTTGCAGCAGGGACATGAGGAAAAACCATTGGAGGCTAGGGAAACCAAGAAGGTCCCCTGGCAGCAGCAGCAGTGGCCCCACCCAGAAGCTCGGCATGCTGGCCAGGGCTGGGGCCCATCCATGCATGAGGATGGGAGCAAAGTACGCAGGCTGGGTTGAGTACAATTAATTGGTGGGTGACCACGGGCTGGATGAAATCGCCTGACAGGCCGGATCAGTCCACAGGCCATATTTTGCCTGCTCCTGCTCTAGACAGAGCCGTAAACTCTCATAAAGGTGGTATAAATGCAGACAATTCCTGTCCTATAGGAACTTGTAAAATAGCCAATATTGCCCCCGTGTTTGGTTTGGAAAGACTCCCTTCCCACACGGCAAGATATATTTTAAGGTGCTGCAGTGAATAGATGAGTCTGCCAAGCAGTTATACTGTTAGTTAGACATCGGGCATGTCTACACATACTCTTTAATGCACAGTAGATTGTTTTACTGCACATTAAAGCATCATGTAAAAACCGTGATATAAATAGTCTACTGCACATTAAGCATCACTAAAAAAACATGCAAAAATGCTACTGCACAGTGCAGCCTAATGCACATTAATTTAGTACCTCATATTGGAGGTACTAAATTTAATGCACATTTGTGTACATACTTTAGTTCTTTGTGGGCAAAGACAACTGCATCCAGTGGGGGGAGGGGAGGGAAGAAGAGAGAAAAGTGCGAAAGAAAAAGGGAAGGAGAAAAGAGAAAAGGAGAAAGAAGGAAAAGGAGAAAAAAAAGGAAAAGAATGAAGGGGGCGGAGGCTAGGTCACATGAGCATGTAGGTGACTTACAAAACCGATCTTTGCTTTGAACCATCTGCTGTAGCAGGGGCAGGAGAGTGATGAGAACTGGTTTTGTGATTGGTCTTACAGTATCCTTGTCTGCACTTGCTGCTGTTCTATGAACCATCAATATGCCCGACTTTCCCGCTTGCCCTGTCCTTGATGTTGTTATTATTATTAATATTAATTTTAGATATTATTAGTCGGGAGGTTTATTCTCTGTTAGCTCGTTCTTATTATACCCTTTTTATGTGGTTCACACACAAGATGCATGTATCATCTGATCCGCTCATCCATATATATGCCCGACCTCGAAGTTAGATATCCAGCCACAGTCTGGTTAGGATCATTTACTTTTCTTTATTTTTCCTTTTACAAATTCATACAAGTCTCACACACTGTCAGACCGAAGATGTTCATTGCATCTTTTTCTAATATCACTTACAATATTAACTTTTTAACTCTTCTCACATACAACGGCTTTAACCTTTAACAGCCAACATGAATTAACTGAACTTAGTATTCATGAACAGACTCTACCTACGAATCTTCTCTTTTCTTTTATTTCATCAATTTCTTCCCATGTTAAGAGAGATCTTATATCTTCAGATCCCTCTACATGAAATTCTTTTACCTTTAGGAGTACTGGAATCCACAGTCAGCCTTATCTTTAGCTTATAGTCCTGAATCCTCTTGGAGAATCAACCAAAACAGTCTCTAACATAGAGAGTTTTAACAAAAATCCCCTTTTTTCATTTCCTTCCAATAACAGACGTATGTCCCGCACCTCTCGGATTTTCTTTGGGGATTCGCCCCTCACTCCATTCCCTCCAGGCACAACTGGGAACACAATCAGTTTCTCTCCTCCAGGCACAACTGGGGCGTAATCAGTTCTTCTACAGATTCTCTGGGGAATCCTCCTTCGTTCCCCCTTTTTCTCTTTTTTCTTCCTTCCCCACTGTCGGACCTCACATCCCGCCGCTCCGCTCCTGTCTCGGAGCTTCTGTCCTTATAAAGCAGCAGCTCCGGAAGCGGCACTCTCCGTTTTCTCCCATCTCAGCCGCACTCGCTCCTCCACAACTGGATAGAGGAGGTTTTTTGTTTTCCTAGCCACGTGTTTGTTCATTGCTTCTGCTGTGCGTTGCTGTTCAAAGGCCAATGCTCCATTCTGGATTTGGGACCTCCAGGATGGACAGTTGTGAGCGATTTGCTCCCATGACTCTGGGTCGATGCTGAAACTATCCATCCTGGGTCGATGCTGAAACTCTTTAGGACATCCTTGTACCGCTTTTTTGGTGCACTGCGAAAGTGTGCTCCATTTGACAGTTCTCCACAGAAAACTTTCTTTGCCAGGTGAGTGTCAGGCATTCTTGAGAGGTGGCCAGCCCATCTTAGCTGTGCCAGTTTCAGCAGGGTGTAAATCCGAGGGAGAGTTGATATTCCAATCATTTATAAAATCTGCACATTTGTAAAAGCTCATTAATGCATGTGTAGATGCGCCCACTGAGATGGAAAGTGGAGTGCTGAAGGATTTTACATTGTGTTCAGCGCATATACCTGCCTAGTCAAGATATAACTTCATCCAGTACTTCTGTTTCAGAGTGAGAATCACCCAGACAAGCCTAAAACTAGGGAGAGAATGCATTAAAATGTTGCTGGACCACTAGTGAGATAAATCTGCCCTGCTGTTTCTTGGAGTCATGATTCATATTAAACAAAAATGCTTTGTTATCCAGGTAAAATAAGCAGTGTGTTCCACTAGTGTCTGAAAGCAATAGTGTAGTTAGCAGCCTCTACTTCTGTCACAAATACCTCTCTCACATGTCAAACTAAAAATGTGTTGAAACAGGGCTGTAGTAACTACTTAGTCACTTTGATTTGAAAAAGAAAAATAATTCTGTATGTTCACTCTTCACAAATGCCTACCACAGGATTGATTTATGGACACAACTAGTTTAATAAGATTGTTTGTTGAAACATTGACACTCTTAGTTTTCCTGTTCTGTTACAAAGTTCCTCTTAGCAGCTAATCCTTGAACCTCCAAAAGACAGTAGTAATATTTTTATGAAACCATTTCTGGCAGTGTGAGGTGTAACTCATCCCTCAGCTAAAGGAATTGTACTTTTGGTTAATAAACTCCACATTGGTATATCAAGTTAAAATAAAAGTAGAAAGTGGAACCATGAGAATTTACAAGAAGATTAGGATTTCAGTGCCCAGCTTCTGTGCTAGCTATAGAGGAAAAAACACAATTTTAAGCAAGGCGGTAAAAGGAAAATATTTATACAATGGGATTCGAATCCAACCTGTTTTTTTTCCCTGGCTGGCTCTGATTCATATGCTGATACTAGTTTGGGATATGTAAAATGAAAATCCAGATGTTAGCTAGATAATAATAGTAATCTCTGTACCATATGCGAAGAATGGTTCTTGTATAACTTCAGGGGGGAGGAAAGCAAACAGTGAGAGAGATTTATACCAAGAAAAAAGAAATTCTGGTCAAAATAGAGATGCAGAGATTGTTAAAGTTTAGTTTCATTTTGTTTTTTATATGTTGTTTAAGGCATTTGTTGTCTGTCTTTAATTTCAAAAGCTCTATTTGTTCTTAGTTGCTGCACTGTAGTATTTCTAATTTGAGTATAGAGGATCATTACACTTTTAACAGAGAATTTTCTTTTGCCATAATTTTGCCAACACTTAGGCTTGCACTGAGTTTCACACTTACTTTTTTTAGTTTTGAATAGCTCTGTTAGCATCTGAGAGTCATTAAGCTGTGGAACAGATTACCTGGAGAGGTAGTAGAGTCTCTGTCATTGGAAGTTTTTAAATACTTAGACAAATGTTAGATACACGCTTATCTGGATTGGTTGAAACAGAAATCACTTGGCCTTGAGCCAGGGGTTAAACTAGATCAGGGATAGGATACCCCCAGCGTAGGTGTCAGAGTGTAGCATGCAAGCATATCTTGAATGGTACCCGGATTGAGATATTCATGGGATCTCTAGGGTGTTAAGACTTAGATTCCATCAAAAGTTACTGGGAACTGGGTGTATAAATTCCTGAGAGAGAGGCAAGGATCTCTTAGGGTATGTGATAGGTTCACTGATCATCAAAGGCAATCAGCCTGTTCTTCCCTAGTTACCTGGGGGACATAGCTTGCTGTCTTAATCCCCCTTTCCCTGATTTTGCCTCCTTTCTTTCCTGCCACACCTTGGTCTTTTCTTTAGGTTTGGGAGGCAGATGGCAGGGTTGGGGGGTTGCCCTTGTTGGATGTTGCTCATCAGGTTTTCTCTCTCAGCGTCCTCCACCTTAGTTCTGGGATGGGCATCCCACACTGCTACTCTTCCTCTTCTCCCCTCAGCAACTGGCCTTTTCCACAGGAACCAAGCCTGGCTGGGCATTCCCTGTACATGTAGCTCTTTATTCTCAGGATGGAGCCACTACTTTGTAGTCCACAAGTTCCATTCCCATAACCAGGACCTCAGCCCCTTTTACTACCCTTCAAGGGCAGTTGGGTTCCCTATCCACACCTCTGCCTCAGGCTCTTCTAGGACCTCCTTCCTCTTCTCACAGTCCTGCCACAGACCACTGGAGTAGTCTCCAAAAATATCTGAACCAAAAAAATGACGTAAGTGCCCACTTAACAAAAAACAATCTTCTGCCTTCAATATGGTGGGGGGGGGGGAAGAAAAGAAAAAGGATCCACAAAATCATATCCTGTCTAATTAGTCTCTATCTCTTAATTCAAAATTTCCCTAACAAGCTGCTTTCCCCCCTCCCCCCCCCCCCCCCCTTTTTTTTTTGGTCTCTTCCAAATCCCCTGCAGCTGAGCTGTCCAGTTCCCATGTCAGGAACTCCTTCTTGCTAGTCTGCATGCCACCTTCCCCAGACACTAACTCTGGTCTGGCTTGAAAACTGCCCTCCCATCCAGGTCCTCCAGCAAAGGGTTAAGTAGCCAGCTAACTCTCCCCAGCCCACTACCTGACCCCTGTGAAGGAGCTGTTAATTCCTTAATTGGTGAGTCACTGTTTCCTCTATGAGAATATCAGCTCTCTATATTCCCGCCTTGGGTTCCCTTCTGTTCTTCCCTTCTGTTTAACCCCTATGGCCTCAGTCCCTCTGTTTCTCTTTCTCCCTTGTCTAGTAACAGGGTGGGATAACATTAGGCAAGCTTTTGAATGCAAGACATTCTTCCTTGTCTAACTTTATCCCAAATACATAGTCCAATAAAAGGTATCACCCTAAGAAATCACTGCCTTTCACATAATTTCTTGACTATCACGGATACAACATTACTCTTACACTGCCATGAATGCTTAAGAAGCCTTTAAACAGACCAGCCTTGATCTTGTTTCTTTGTTCTTACTGGTGGGCCGGATTACTTCAAAGGAACCACATTTAGGTTGACCTGCTTGCTAATGAGCAGGGATCCTGGTTTTCTCTGTTTAAACAGTGCCATAGCAAGGAGGGCACCGAAGCAAAGGGGCACCACCAGGTGCTGCGCAGCAGGGGCAGGGCGCAGGACGGAACTGTGAACAGCTCATTTGGGGGATGTGGGGACTGGGGAAGGGTGGCTTCCACTGCTGTGTGCACTCCTGGACAAGCATGGGGGGGTGTGCCCCCTGAATCTGTGCATGGGGCGAGGGTGGACTGCTGCTGCATGCTCTGCCTCAGGTGCCAAACTTCGTTGCTACAGCCCCCCCCACCCCCCACTTTGTGGCACTGAGAAGCCATGTTATGCTGGTGCCCTGCCCATGCCATTAACCCTCACTTTGACCCACAGCCCCTGGCTCTGCCAGTGCCCCTCACTCCCAACCTACAGCCCCGCATCCCCCCAGTCCTGCTGTTGCCCCTCATTCATGACCCACAGTCCCCTGCCCCACCCCCCCAGCCCTGCCAGAGGGGCCCCCGGCTGCCAGGGCTATGGGACCAGGACCAGGGCGGGCAGCCTCCCTCTTCCCCCCAGCAATACCCAAGCCCTGGCTGCTGCCTACAGGAGGGAGGCAGTGGCTGCTGCAGCTGGAGCAGAGTGCAGAGTCCAGCTCCCCCCATCCCTATGGGTGGCACAGCCAGAGTAGAGCCCATGGGGGCGGTGAGGTTGCAGGCTGCCTGCTGTAGTCTCCCTATCCTGCAGCCCCTCCTGTTGCCCTCTAGATAAGCCACCTGTGACTGTCCTGCTCCCCCAACTGGGTCCCACAGCTGTGCATTCTTGCCCTGGCCCCAGTCCCCACACACCACCCTGGCTGGGCAATGCCCCCAGCTCCAGCCCAGCCCCACTCCCTCCCTCATTGTGGGGGCCTCAATGTGCCCTCTCCCTCTCCCCCAACCATAGACTTACCTGCAGGAAGCTGCAAGAACTGTTCTCTGCTCTCCATGCTGCCACATGCATATGTGTGTGTACACATATACGTGACACCCCCTGCCAGATCGCCCTACTCCTGCCTCCCCCCAGCCCCAAGCAGCCCCTTGCAGGCTGGAACTCTGCCAACCTGCAAGGGGAAACCTGCTGTTTCCCAAATTTTTCTTTAAAGGAGAAAATCAACGTTTTTCCATGATGAATAGAAAACCCAGATCCCTACTCATGAGAGAAGGGGCTTTTGTTCTGATTCTATGCATGGTCTCAGCACTGCAGACACTTGAATGCGAGCATCAGTTCAACTACCCATTTGATTTCCACAGGAGTACCCATGAGCTTAGTTTGCAGTGGGCGTAAATTATTTGTAGGATCATGGCCTAAATCAGAAAGTTTTCCCATATTATACCAGCCCACCCAACCTGATCACTATGGCAAAATTTACTCTTTATGTAAATAGCAACCTTTATATGACCCAGCTCCATCCTCCCTTTGAGATATCTTGATGTGTTTTTACAGAGCCTCAGCCTGCTGTGCAGTATTGATCGCTTGTGGTCTTGTTTTTCGTTAGACCCTGAGCAAGTCTGAAGACTTTCAATCTGCTGTTTTCAAGTTGGCTGGCACTCCAATCATTGCAGATGTTTATTACATTGTGGGAGGGACTATGCCCAAAGAAGGTGTGGTCATAACAAGAAATAGAGAGGGTCCAGCAGACATTTGGCCTCTTGATCCCTTAGATGGAGGGTAAGTAGAAACAAATACTGCTCTCTTCCTCCCTTCTGAGCTGCAGTCGGGACTTGCAGAAGAGTATTCAAAACACCGAAGACCCAAGGGAAGGAATATTTTGCATCTCTGAACAACAACTTAGCAAACAAAGTATTTTGGTGCATAATAAGAATCCATCTTTCCTGTTCTCTAAGTGCTAGTTCTTCAGGTTTAACAGAAGTGAAAAGTATTTAAACTCCCTTTTCATCACTGAGAGAGAGAACTCCAAACCAAAGCACCTATGATTCTTAATATACATATGAAGCAGAACTGATGAACAAGATTGGGCTGTTGCTACATAAGGTATGCCTAAAATGCAGACCACATGGTGTAGATGCATGAGCTAGCTTTATATGAGCTAGTATGGATACTAGTTTCAGTCTGCCTCCATGCTGATGTGATTTGGCTGCTTCAGATAGCCATTCTATGTCAGGTCTCTCCCCACTGCAGTGTAGTATTCACTATACACATACCTGGTACATACTGCGCATGTCTACACATTCACTTCAATGCACATTAGCCTATTTTAAAGTGCATTAAAGTGTCACTAAAAAAACTGTGCTATTTAGTTAATGCACATTAAAACAGGCTAATGCACATTTTCTTAGTACCTCAGGGTGCCTGCACATGGCCCGGGGAGGCTGATCTGACATGCTGCAATTACAGCATGTTGTAGCAGACTGGAGTGTGGCAATTACCATGCTCCATCCAGCCTCCGCATCTTGTGTAACAGCATCCCAGCACTTCAAAATGATGGCAGGGGCACTTCAACTAAAGTTTGTTCGGCAAGCTTTAGATAAAGTACCCCCAGCACTATTTTAAAGTATGGGGACGCTGATACACAAGATGCTCTGGGCACTTTAATTAGAGTGGCTCTTGACTTTAATTAAAGTGTCCCCCACTTCCCGAGCACATAGAAAAATGTCCTCACGGTGGAGGTACTAGATTTAATGCACATTAACTGAAGCACATTAATGCACGTGTAGACATACCCACTGTACACTAACTCCATTTTTAAGGGCGTGGTCCTGCTCCCCTCACAGTTGGTGGGTTTTTTTGCCATTGACTATAATGAGAGTTGGACTGAACCCTTTTTTCCCCAACCTTCTTAACAATCCATGGACTGTAGTTTCCAGCAAGGGCTTTAATATGTGTTATCTTTGGCCTTGCTATAGGCATGTGAGCTGGGAGACTTTTGAAAGAACCTTTTTTAACTTCGTAGATACAGAAATCCTGTGTTGTGTCTGCTTTTGTTAGCCATGGAAAGAAATAGCTGGAACTACTCTTGCTTATCTTTTGTGTGCTTCTCAGGTGGTTCCGTGTGGAGACAAACTATGACCACTGGACTAGCCCTCCTCCTTTTGATGATCGAAGGTAGGTTTAATTAGGAGCTGTACCTGAAGATGACACTTTTACATTCAAATAGAACCACAGAGTTGGGCCCTGGCCCCCTGGGCTATGAGTGGCTTGGTATGCTGAGTGGGCAGCTATTCCAGTTTCAGTGGTGTTGCTCAGAAGAGACAAGATCAGTGAAGGAGCAAAACTAAGAGATTCTAAAGGGATCCCTGTCCAGAGCCTTTTGGCTGGAAGCCCAATGCGTCATGTGATATCAGAAGGAAAATGGTGGCAAGGAAGCAATGCTTGCACCTCAGAGTGACTAGGGAGGACTTTCTAACAGAAAAGCAACAAAAACAACAAAATGTTGCTTTGGCAACCTACCAGTTGATCTGGCTATTTTATGTAAGAGGGGAAAAGAGAACTGGTAGATTTAGTGCAATTTTATCCCCAGCCTATGTTAATGCCTCTCTCATACGACAGCATTTGCTTGTCAAATGACATTTTGTTCTTTTCCTGCAGAACTCCAGCCATCAGAGCACTTAATGCCACTGGGCAACATAATATTAATTTTGATACCCTCTTTCAGGTATTTCCTTTAAATCCTGCGTCCTACTGTCTGGGCTTGAACTCAAAGTTTGTCGCTTTGCAAAACTGTTACAACGCTGTTTCAGAAATGTAATTGCATTTTTAGCTGGGAGTTGAGAGAGGACAAAAACAGAGCATGGTGATGGGGATTAGTCAGCAAATGGCTCTCACTGGAGGCTTTCTATGATCATTATAAAGTTTGCATGAACCAGGAGCCAAACTATGCTGCTAGTTCATTGTGTGACTTTGGGCAAGTAACATGAGCCCCATTTTCCAAATGTCCATTAATTCTGGGTGACTCAGGTTTTGGGTTCTTAAGCTGAGACATCAGAGACCCCATTTCATTTCCCACTGACCTGTTGACAAAGTGAATATTCAGCTTTTCAGACGAGTAGGCTCAGAGTGAACATTTTAGATTAGTGGACGTCTGAAAACTTTACCTTTAATATTTGTACATTTAACTCTTTTTTTGGAATAATCCAGGAGCAGTGGGAGATGAGAATTGTAAATGTTGAATCATTATGGGCTTTGGCAATGAAGTGGACAAATAATGGTTTTATTCTTTGGCAGATGTGATATGGGTACAAATGAATAGGAAAAAATACCATATCAATTTGTTTTAAATCTTTTGGTTTCAGGGGGGACCATTGGCAAAAAACTTTATTTGCCAAAAAGATACTTTATTGCAATTTATATGTTAGAAGTGATAAAAACTGTGCTTTGAGTTCTGACATTTAGCACTTACATGGCATTTAGATCCAAGATTTTAGTTTAATCTTTAGTTTTTGTGTATTAGTGGTAAAGTTTTAGTTTTTAGTTTTAGTTTAGTTTTTGTGTATTAGTGGTAAAGGATTTTGGAAATGTGTGATGCCATACTATCCAAGGGACACATTTCCAAACTAAAGGCCAGTCATTCAGAGTGGGTTCCCAGTGGTTATACAGACCAGAATTACCGGCCTTGATACAGGACCTGTATCAAGAGAGGAGCCCAATCCTTCTAGAATTCTGTGAACAGAGGCCACGTCTGCACGAGATGCTGACTGCACAGTAACCCGAGTTACTGCGCAGTAGGTCCAATGAATGGCTCTTTTGTGATGCTTTCCGCTACTGTGCAGAAGTCTTGGGCTACTGCGTAGTCAACATCTTGTGTAGAGCCGTGGCCAGGTGTCCTTAAATGAGGGACTTTGGAATAATACAACTGCATTCTGATTGCTGAGTGAAGGGCTTAAAAGGAACAGAGATGGCTAGCCTCAGTGCATAATTTCTTAGGTATGAGCCTAGTTATTTAAAAATTAAACATATTTGGAGAGTGGGGCTGATAGCTGAGGTCTGCTGTTAAATTCAGGAATTATGCAAAACTTTGTGCATTAGAAGAATAGTGTGAGTTCTGGTTTTGTGGGATTTGTTTTAAATAACTTAATCCTTGTGCTATATCTGCTCTATCTAAAACACCTTTTACAAACTTTTAACCGTCAGAATGACAGGTTTTTCCATGTTCTTGTACAGGTATTATCAGTGAAGCCAGTCTTAAATAAGTAAGTATTGTGCTTAGAAACATAGCCAACTACTCATGGCCATGCCTCAACCAATCAAGTGCTTCAGGAGATTTTCATTTAAATCTGTCTGAATATGCATTTAGATCCAAGATGATTGAGTTCTGTCCTTTTGACCAGTGAGATCCATATTAATATTCCATTACCTTGATTAAGATAAATAGTGTCATTTAGGGGCAAATTCTTTGCTGGAATAGACAAGATTCAGTGGGGCTAGACCAGTTTACATCCATAGGTGTAAGTTTTATCAGGCTCTCTCCCTGATATTTCAATATGCTGTACTTTCTGTTGCTGTGGCTCATATATGTAAGAGGTATGTTTGTAGTAATTTCATAGACATTAGGGCTGAAAGGGACCTCGTAAGATCATTGGGTCCAGCCCCGTAAGATTGAGTCTTTACTCTTCTGTTCTCACAAAAGCCTCTTTTTTGGCCTGAGATCTATTTTGCCCATACTGTCTGTCTTCTCTTTCACCCTAGTAACACAGTATATACCACAGTCATGAGTGCTGCATTCCCAGACAAGTACACAACTTGGATCAGAACGCTGGGTTAAAACTGGGTACGTAGCACAAAGGTGTCTAACAACTATTTGTATTTAGGTAGAAGAGGCAGCATTTCTCAATCCATGGGTTGCAATCCGAAAGTGGGTCATAAGAATATATACAAGGGTTGCAAACAAACTTTAAAAATAGATCATAGTTTGCATACATTTTTTTTAAATGTTTGGTGCTTGTGCTTTCCCATTTGTTAACACTGTGCATACTAATAAACAGTGTATAATCTGGGCAGCCTGGCCTGGGCAGAAGCCACCTCCACCGACCGGGGGGCAAGACCCAGCATGGGAGGGCAGAGTGGGATGGCAAGACTTGTTACTGCAGCTGCCACCATTAGGACCTCCATGCCAGCTGTGCTGCCAGCAGTGCAAGGAGTAATGGACTGGGGAGGCAGGGGGCTATGCCTTCACCACTTCCTGCCTCCAGTCACTCATGCACTGGGCTGCACCTCTACCCCGCTGCCATGGCCCAGCTTCCACTGCCACTCCCCTCAGGCCATGACTCAACCCAGGAGGGGAGGTGGGGTGGCAGTGAATGGTGTCAGTGTGCGAGCTATAGCAGCAGAGTAGAGCCGCGGCTCAGTACATGACTGGCTGGAGGTAGGAGGAGGTGAGGGCAGTGCAGCCCACCTCCTACCCTCACTCCCCTGGTCCATTACTCTTTGCACTTTTAGTGGTGCAGTGATGTGGGGGTCCCAGTGGTGGCAACACAGCAGCAATGAGTCTTCCCGCCCTGCTCCACTCTCCCAGGTTAGGTCCCTCCTGCTGGGCCACAGAGGCAGCTCCTGCCTGTGACAATCTGGCTAGGCTACAACCCTGTGCCCACTATGGGTGCACAAATCCGGGGATGGCAGAGCCAGGGGCTGTTTTCTACTTAAACTATTTACCTGGTTGGGGGTGCTCATGAATGTTTACAAACGGATCCTGGTACAAAAAAAGTTGAGAAGAGTGGGCAAGAGCACTGGGAGGGGACTCAGGAGACCTGGATTCTGTTCCTGGCTCTGCCTTTGGCTTCCTGTGTGATTCTGATCTAGTTACTTTCTGCGTCTTAATTTTCCCCACATGTAAAATGGGGTAAATACCAGCTTCCTTTGTAAAGCCCCTTGAGAAGTACTGAGAAAAAGTGCTGCATAACAGTTAAAGTGGTGTTGGTTGTGCTTCCTGTCAGGCTGACGGGAGGTGACATCAGCAGGCCACAGAGACATTAAACTTTCCCTCAGCCCATGTTGGTTATAACAGGAGCTGGACTCAGCCTACATAAATCCACTGACCTTGCTTACATTTTTAACTTCAATGCAGACCTTCCCATCGCAGAAGCCTCTCACCCCTTAGGGCCAATTGGACATCATCCTTCTCTGGGTTTATGCATTTAGGGCTTCCAGAAAAATTGAAGTACATGAACTCTCAATTTTTTTACAGTTGTGACCAAAGCTGCATCTGCTGGTTCTGAATAAAAACCCAACTTCATTCTCCAAGGAGAAACTGAGTTCTGCAAACTCTGCAGATGTCATTGATTTGATTGATATATGGTGTGTTCCTTCTTTCAAAGAAGTCAGTTTGACCTTTGCCTTACCCTGGCAGCAAAACCTGGCCTGTAAACTACTTTATTTCCTGTCTCTCTGAAGATTACTTTTTCTTGATTGAGGGTCTATATAAATTAAGTTTAATAAAAGACTTTTAGAAAAGATACTCTGGGTCACTCAAGTTATGGGTATCCTGAGTGCTGTCTCACAATAAAGCTGTTTTGTGAAGCCAATGCATGTGCTGGCCTGTTGCTGTCTAGTCGTTAGGCATCGCATGGAGTCGAGGTCTAACACTACCCTGTTGGTGATTTTAAAATGTTTGCTCTATTTATTCTTCCTTATATATCCAGCTAATTTATTTCTTGCTCTTCTTTTTAACAGACAAAAGAGGAAAACCTGACGTTATTCAAGACCAGTTTTTAGTTTTAAAATAAAGAAGTGTAATGCACTGTACAAAATAATTACATGAACATTGGAGGTAAAACTGACTTGTTCATTCTTTGTAGTGCTCTAAGATTCTTATTTTGTTAATCATCTGAAATTAAGGTTTTAATATATTTTTGATTGTGTCAGGTTTTTTTAGTACTTGTTTAAAATTGAGAGCTATTATTTTTACCATTTCTGCAAAGAAGCATGCAATTTAAAGAAACATGTCAACAAATTCAGTAATAAAAGCCTTCGTTTTTGCTTAGCTTAATAGCCCTGAAAATTTGAAATAAAAATATGTAGCAGGTTCTGTGAATCATGTATAAGTATATTGTTGTTGTTTTCTCACGTTCACATTGTCTGTGATCCAAAACCATAGTACAAGTGTTAAGATTGGATCCTCTTTTTAGCATCCACCCTAAGTGAAATATGCTGAGTGCTGCAATGTCCATAGAGGGTTTGGAAGAGCGACAAGAACCCTGCAGTTATTTCTGCAGCATCGGTGTTTCACCTGTCCTGGAAGCTGCTGTTTGTCTATGGAACTATGTTAGGTCAGTGAATAGGCCTCCATGATTCTTCCTCAAACACTCCCACAGCCTTCTTTATTTAAAGACCCTGTAGAGAAGGATTCTGCAACCTACAGGGAAGGGATTTGTGGCCCCATGGCTGTGCTCTGCCAGACCTGGACAAGGACTGCACAGGTGCCTGGGCTGTAGTATGTGCCACTGCAGCAGAGCCTCCTGCACCTCTGGGCCCACTGCCAGTGGGCTGTGGCTGCACAGCTGGCCTTCAAGAGGAACTGCTGTCATGTCTTCTGGTGCCCCTGCTCTGCCATCTGGGCAGCTATTTTGCCTAGAAGTTGTGCTCATTGCAGTGGCCCACTTTGAACTATCAAAGCATGTCCTCTTGGCTGCAAATGGCCAAGAGGTCAGCCACCTCATCTGCCCTCCAGCTGGGTCCCCAGTGCTGGCCCTAGGCAGGTTCTTCTGCCTGAGTCTTGCCACTTGCCTCACCAGCAGAGATCCTGGTATTCCCTGTTTAAAAACTGCAAATTCTCTGATAAGAAACCCAAATTCTCTCATCAAAATACCCCAAATCCATGTTCTTCCACTATTAAAATTGAAACACTGCTATATAGAGAGAAATCAGTTGAGCAATGTTTTATTGATATTGTTTACAATTTTAAGGCATTTTGGAAGCCTGCTAGTGCCTCTCACCATAATAAAATAAATTCTAAATATCTTTATACGTTGGCATTTACATTTGTTGTTTTGTCATAGAAAAATCAGAGCTGGCCCTGCCCTTGCTCCTGACTCCCAACCCACAGTCCCCCACTGAGTGCCCCTCACTCCTGACCTGCAGCCCCTGCCTGCCACCACTAGCTCCCTCCTGGACACAGATCTGTCCAAGCACCAGGACGTGAGTCCAGCTGCAGCTGTCCCACCTGCTGCTTTGTGGCTCTGAGAAGTGCTGGCCCTCGCTGTTCTGCTCCCTGCCCCATGCTGTTCCTGGGAAGCCTTCGACTGGAGCTCAGGGACCAGGCTGGGCCCTTTCCTTCCAGGCCACCCTTCCCCTGCACAAGCCTGCTCTAAGCCTGGCTCTGGAGGCCTCTCCTACCCAGAGTGCTCCCCTACTCCCAACCCCCATTTCTCTCTCACACTCACATACACACCCTGCTGCTACCTCCAGCTCATCATACCTCCCAAGTGGTTCCTGGGACCAGGAGCCCCTGCCCAGGCTGGGGCCACATGTCCCAATGATGGCATGGGCATGGGGCAGGGCTGCAGTGTGGCAGTTGCCCCTGCAGCTTCAGCCTCCGCCAGAAGGTCTTGTCCCATCCTGTTTGGTGACTGGGCACACAGGATGTGATTTGTGGGGGCAATGTGGGGTGGGGTTTGTGGGGCATTATAGGTGGGTTTATAGGGCTTGGGGGTAAGGTTTAAGGGGGGTATGGGGCTTGTGCAAGGGGTTGGGGGATGTGGA